AAAGTCAACTTCAGCAACAACTTGCAGATATTTATAAAACATTACATTTTATAGATTAGCCAATGATGTGGACAAGATTAGTTTACATGGGAGCACCTCTAATAATTCCAGACTTCAAGAAATCCAAAAAGGAAAAAGCATTACACACAATTGCACAATTTTAACAAAAATGATGACCATTTGTCATTTTAGTCAAAGCAAAATTAGGCCAAACCTAATCACTATGATATAACTAAAATAGGCTAAAATTTTCACCAAAAGACAAAAACTGTGTCTAAATTAAAAATACATGAAAATTACTGCAGTGCTCTCCTCATTGAGCTTCCATTCCACGCTTTAAATAAATTGCAACTACTGCAAAATGTAGCTTTGCGGCTATTTACATCTACCTATGTACCTACGGCATCATATCACACCCATACTTCAAGATGTGCACTTGTTACCTGTGGCTCACATGATTACTTACAAGGTACTGGTTCTTGCTTATAAGGCAATGCATGGCACTCTTGCTTGTGGTATCAGCTCCCTGATGGAGGAGGCCATTTGAAGGCTGTAGTCTTTTAAATATTTCGTTATTTCATTAAGGTTTACTTTTAGGGACACATTGTTAATTTATTTGTGTACATTTTGGAATGAAACTCTTCCAAATTGTTATTATAATGTTTATAATGTCTTCTTCAATTGTATTATATATAATGAATGCTCACGTTTGTCTTTATTTTGTATGTATTATGGAGGTGTGTAAAACGCTTTGAACTCTGAGAATAAAAAAATTATATTATTGTTGATGTTGCTTTGTATGTAAACAAAGGTGTCTTGCAGCTTTTCATGTCTAAGCATGTTTTGTAATGGCTTTTGTTTTCCTTTGTTTTCTTTTAGGCCTTGATTCATGGACTGAACAGACATTACTACTCCATTACCATCAACTACAGGAAGAATGAACTCGAACAAAAGGTTGTAACTTTATATTATATTTGGCGTATATGTCTAGAATCATAAAGGCATTTGACTGTTTTTCGTAGTCTTGATGAAGTTTAAAGATACTTCAGTGGCATCTTGTCTCATGAGTTATGTCTCCAGATGCTGTTGAACCTTCATAAGAAGAGTTGGATGGAGGGTCTGACCCTGCAGGACTACAGCGATCATTGCAAGCTTAATGAGACCATCGTAAAGGAGATGCTTGAGCTGGCCAAGAACTACAACAAGGTAAGCAATATGAGTGGAAACAAGGTCTTGGCAATGGTCTGCCCTGATGGATTGGATTTTTTGTTCTAGAAGGTGAACCCTCTAGAATTAAGCTGGGGTAGAGTGAATGCATCTACACCCTGTGACACCTTTGTACTTACCAGGTGTGACAAAATTGGTCAAAATCTCGTTGTATGCACGTTGATCTATTATCCAAAACTCCAGTGTTTCACTTCTCTAGTTTTGCTTCATTTACACACACAGCATTGAATTGCCTTGTGAGCTGTTTCCATCTGCATTATTCACAATTGAACATGACTGCCATAAGTCAGATTTGCCTTAAGTCAGCTTTAATGTGGTGTGTTTGCCTTTCTTAAGAGCAGAGCTGTGGCCGTCTGACTGTCTGAATGCTGTGGCATCTCTGTAGACGCAAGAATGCAATTTGTGTGTAGTTCACGTGAATGGTTGCTTCACAACAATTTAGAATAAGTTTTGTTATTTTGCTGTTACAAATGTTGTTTATGTATTGTCACTGTAATATCTTCTTTATTGTACTTCCCTACTTTTTCACTTTTTCATGATTTGAACATTTCACTTGGTTTTACATTGTATCAGTATTTGATGATAAATTGACCAATAGAAATTGTCCAAAATACTTGAAAAATCATGTTCCATTAACTTTCATTACAAGTTAAAATAGTTTTTTATTCTCTTGTAAAGTGACCTTTACAAGATACAGGGTTTTATTCTGACAGCAACGATATGCTGATTATTAAGTGATTAACTTTTTATAGGCCATTCATTCATTTAAATTCCTGTTTAATTTGAGATTTCTCTACACGTCTTGGCTGTCCTGCTCCCACCCTACACTGAAAATTAGTCCTGTGGGACCACAATATCTGTTTGGCACAAATGCAAACCTCTACTATATACAGCACATAAAAACGCACACCAAATACAGGAGCTGTTTTTGGTATTTGTATATTTCTTTTGATAACTTATAAACAACGTTTATTGCTACGATTTAGGTGAGAGTTCTGTTTTGCTGGAGAGCATCAAAGTGGGCTTATGTAGTATCCATGGTAGTGTGATCATTGATATATCTATGGCCTATGGTAGGTATTGTTTGCCATTTTTTGTACATTTCTTTGTTGTTTTTCATCCTCTCTTAGGCTGTAGAAGAAGAAGACAAAATGACTCCTGAACAGCTGGCTATTAAGAATGTTGGAAAACAGGTTAGGAACACTTCTTTGGATACCACTTTGATTACAGCATTTTCATCTATAAAGATTGCTCATTCTCTGTCTCTCTCCATCTGCAGGATCCCAAAAGGCATTTGGAAGAGCACGTTGATGTCTTGATGACATCCAATATTGTGCAGTGCCTCGCCGCTATGTTAGATACTGTTGTCTTCCAGTAATATCTTTTGCTGTGCATCATTGTTCATATTCAACGTCTGTTTTGTCTTTTTAACAAATAAACCTATATAAAACCAAATTTTTATATCTAAGTGCATGTTCATGTACAGGAATACAGGGACGCTGCATCATTAATTTGACCTTTTCAAATCCAATCGTGAATATGAAGTCACATGTTTCATAACATAATAGCCTTGCTCTGCATTTACGTTACAGCAGAGCAAAGTGATTTATGTTTTGTACATTGATTTCTATGGTGACAGGCCACAGAAGTTTACAGATTGTGGTTACAGGTTGTGGAAGCAGAAGCAGCAGCACAAACGAGTAGAAGAGGGCAGTTTAACAAATTGAGCATTTCTCAGCTTTATGTAAATGAGAAGCCACGTGTTTTCTCATGCATCACATCTATATTAAAACCATAACTTTTTGTTTGATTCCACATAGACCTTTTTAAAAACTATATTAAGCATTCTTCTCTCCTGTGTTACAAATAGCCCAGAATTGTGCATTCATTTTTCTCTGGACAATTAACTTTTCAGGCCATTTTTTTTCAACATGGCAAGCGATTTACTCTGCTGTAATGTAAATGCTAAAGGTGCCTTGTCTCTTAACACTGATTTAATGGCACCATTAAAGACAGAAGACATATTTGTAACTTGTTCCCTTGCTTATCCTCATATATCTTTTCATGAGGAGCATGTGGGGCAAAGACCCATGAGAGAGACGTTCTTTTCTTGAATTTCCAACAAAAACATACATTTGCCATTGACAATTATGATACACAGTCGCATGCAAATGTTTGAGCACTCTGGGTTAAATGACATGTTTGTTAAATTTTTAAGTGGTAAGTTAACAACATGAAACATTTAAACCCAAATAAACAGAAAATGCTGTTTTTGAATGATCATTTCATTAATTGAAGGAAAAATGCTGTTCAGCCCTACCTGGCCCTGTGTGAAAAAGTAATTATCCCTTAGCTACTAAATCAACCAGTTAACCAAATTTGATTGACTATTAGGTTCAATTTCACTAGCGCTACCCAGACCCAGTTTGCTGCCAGGCCTGTTGAATCTAAACATCACTTAAATAAAACCTGTCTGGCAATGTGAAGCGGCTAGAAGGTCTCAAAAGTGGCTGAGTCAAAGTCCTGACTTGAATCCCTTGGAGATGCTGTGGCAAGACCTTAAACGGGAAGTTCATGCTTAAAGCCCTCCAATGTAGCAGAATTAAAACAATTCTGCAAAGAAGCCAGGCTCAATATGGAACCAATATTTTGTCTGACAATTTTACTATTATCAACATTAAATATGAAATGTAAGAGATGTCTATGTTCACCTGTCATTTTGGATAGTAAATAAAATGGCTTCAAATTTTACTTTGTATACATCATAACCTGTCTAACACTTCCACCACCACTGTAAAGAAAATCTGAGACAGTAAGTTTCTCTACAGTGAACAATTTTTAAACAATCAAAACACTCAGAATGACTGTTTACATCTGAACCGGTGAATTATGCAGAACTTTTTTTGGTCTCAAAAATTGTGGAATTCTCCTTTGAAGGGAGAATATATAATTCAGTGGTTGATGTGTAAACAAATATGGTGGTTAAGTGAAATGATTCTTCTGCAGAGAAACTTACAGACTCAAATTTCTTTACAGTGGTAGTGACGGGAACCAGGAGTCCTGATGTCTACAATGCAAATATAGCCATTTTATTTACTATCCAAAACCACCAGTGAACCTACATGTGTCTTCTGAGGTTTTGATGTAACTGATGATGGTAAAATAATGGACAGTCTAAAAAATAAATTTTCTTTGGGGACTTTTTAAGTCCACCATGAAAAGATTAAAATAAATTGATTAAAATGCATTTTAGACTAAAACGTTATCACAAAACTACTGAGAAACAATGTCTCAGACATCAGGCAGTGGATTCACAACCATTTGAGGCGCAAGTCCTTATAGTCACCACAGGATGGCGCCAGCAGCTCTGAATTGAGCTGCGGCTTCAAAGCGGCACAGTGCGACTGTGTCCTTCAACACGCAGTATAATAAAATATAGACCTGTGTGTGCGGTGGTAGGTATGGTAGAGAATACTTTAGTATTTGCTCTGCTGGGTGTCTGTTCTGATCTTTTCGATGTCTTAAAATATGTAAAACCGACCTTTTTTTCCTTTTTTTTCTTTCCTTCGTTTTTTTCATTTCTTTTTTATTTTCTTTAAGGCTTCTTATTACTTTTTTCATCTGTTGAGCCAAACGTACCTAGTTTACATCTTTCCATGCTCAAATACTGATATACTTTTTCCTTTTATTTTATTCACCGTCGGTTTCCCCGCTCTGTTAACTCACGTGCTGCGCGCGCTGCGTCACGCAAACACGAATTCCACGCGAAAGGAGCTCTGGGGTGCGCGAGGCACGAAAAACGCGCGAGGGTGCGACGACTCTTTAACGGTTGACGATGTAAATGTCCAGTTTTCCCAGCTCACAATTATCAGACGCATCCCTCCGGTCACTGAGTACAGCGAGACGCGCCGAGTGGAGAGTGAACTGAGCTGTAAGGCGACAGGAATGGACATTAAAGACCAAGGAGCGCAAATGGAGCCTCTTCTTCCGCCGGTAAGAACATGTTCGTGTCTTCAGCAGTGTTGCCTCAGTGTAGCATGTACGTTTCTTCAGCAGTGTTGTAATATACCACACAACAAACTGATACCGACTCCCTTTTCTGGGACAAAAAGAAAATGAATTCTACTGGGACTGAAACGTTGGCTCCTTCAGTAATGGTGCGGCGTACGGAAGCCATCACTTACCCCACCTCGAACAAAAGAACGTGTTTCAATTATTTATGCTCCTTTTACAATTGGCTGTAAGAAGCGTGGGAACGGTATCGTTTTCCGTCGTGTTTCGCCATTACAGCAGCGTTTCACACGAGCCTTTCATCCTCTCTCTCTGTGTTTATTGGCATCTACATAGTAGAATTTATTATACTGCAGCCATGTAATGTAATACAGGAATCGCCTACATGAAACAAGTGGCTTGAATAAATGGCAGCCTAGGACAGGCAGCCAGTCAGGATCTCCTCTCACGATTGGGAATACCCATTCGAGCAGAAAGAGACTCTGTTCATCTTCCTCTCTAGACGACAGAGACAGCACTCACTGTTTCTTTTGATGAGGCTCCATCACGTCAGCTAGAGGCTAAAATCACCCATGCGGTGGTGTCTTACATGAGACCCAAGTCTCTTGGACTGCACATGAATGTAGGGCTGGGCGATATAAATAAAATACACTATCGTGATATTTTCTAATTATATCACGGTATTGCAGTATCAGATCATATTCACGTTTATATTAATAAAGATAAAATTTATTCTCTCTGAATGCGGTGCTCAAGGCTAAAATAATTTCTTATGAACCTGGCAGAGCTTGTTTTAATTTGACTGTTTTGTTCCATTTACTTTTCTTAAAAATTACAGGCAAAATCAGATTTCCAGAAAGTATATTTGGCGACCCTTTTTTTACTTGTGGCCCCCTCCCTCTCTAATCAAGTCGAAAAATTCGGAAGTGCGCTCTCTCCTGGCGACAGCAGAGTAGTGTCGCTTTCCTTGCAGTAGAAAACGCCACCAGGGCTTTCGCTAGAACGTGGAAGTGTGAGAATGGTGTATTATATCGAACATTTATCGAACCTGTCTTATCACTCTATCGAGGAAAAGTTATATCGCGATACTTATCGTTATCGTTTTATCGCCCAGCCCTAGCTGGTTATCAAATATATTACTAAAGTATCGCTAAAACTGAATAGCAACATCACAGTAACCCACCACAGGTACAGCCTAGCTTCATGTTAATTCTCAAAATAATGCCTAGAATGTATTTTGGATTGTGAAGGCCTTGGATTAACTGAAACTGGCCAGCGATGGCATGAGTTCTGCAATCTGTAGCTTATTTGATGGCCATGTAAATTCATAGCCTCTTGAAGAAATTGCCTCTGTATCCCTGATGAGAAGCTTAGATGAGAGGAAAGAGCAGCCATTTTATTCCAGGCGACGTGTGTGTTATGAAGGAAAGATAGATGGTCGGTAGGCCGTGTCCAATGCCAGCTTAAGATCCGTTGTAGCCATTTGGATATCACCACAGCCAAGAGCAGGTGCACCCTTGCTCGAGAGTCTCGGTCCAATAACGAAGGAGCCAACAGACCTTTAGCTGCCAATTACATGACAGTTGACGGTGAATGTCACTTATTTGTCTTGTCCAGCCATCAGGGCTATGAGCAGAGGGTCAGCTTAGACCTCTGTGTAACATGTCAGACCCAAGTCCTTATTTGCTGTGCATGGAAAGTATAGACTAGGGACAAGTGGTTGCATTTGATGAAGGGGAATTCTACCTTTTTTCAAAATTCTGCACAGTTCAATCATTAGGATGTAAACAAAGTCATTCAGAGTGGTTTGATGTGAAATGGTCCTTTCTAGAGAAACCTGCAGAATCAGAATTGTTCACAGCGGTGGTGATAGGCATTAGACATCTGGTGAGTTTAGAGCCTCTAAAAGCTCTCTCACAGAAAGTTATTACATTAAATGCTAAAAATATGCTGCCTGATGTCTGAGACATTGCTTTACAATAGTTTGGAGATACAGTTTTGGCATAAAACATAATTTTTTTTATCCATTCACCGTGCACAGGTGCATCACATCAAACCCCTCTGAATGAATTTGTTTACATTTCAGTGACTGAACTATGCAGAACTTTTGAAAAATCGGTGGAATTCCCCTTTAATTACCTCTGTGTATCTGAAGATACATGGCAATATTTTAATTAAAATATTCTGTACTTAGTGACACTGAAACAAGGGAGGACAATATGACTATAGTTATTATTATCATCGTACTGGTACTTAGAGAACACTGAAACACTGCATGTTTGATTATAAATAGAGTGGAACTAGTAGTCTTGTTCAGTTGGATTTAGTGCAAGACAGCTTGTGAAATTTTGATTGCACATCACATAATGTGAAGAAGTCTTGAAGTATGGTGATGTTATATTTTTTGCCCTTTTGCCTACCTCTACTCTCATATATTGACAAATTCAAGTATTGTAGATTGACTCAGGAACGATTACAGGGTGGATGTATTTGTTTTATGATTTTTACAGCTTTTTAAATATTGGGAGTCGGTGCAAAGACGCTGAGTGGCAAGATGTTACAGTTTAGTGATAGAAGGGGGATTTTATTGCATGGCCCGAAGGGGGCAGTATATCAGATTGTACAGAATACAGCTCTAACCACTCTGCTTCACAGTTCTCTGCCTGGAGCACAGTTTTAATGTTTTGTTTGATGCAATGAATAACATTGTCATGCTTATTCAGTCATCCTGGGGGTTAAAAGAGAAGAAAATTCCTATGCACACGTTGTAAAAGGGTTTGTTCATGCAGGCTTATGCACAAATTTGGGTTTTGTTGTTTTTTTTTAAATTGAAAATATATATTATGTATATATAATACATGTACATAAATAACATTTTAATGCACAATTACTGATTATTTGCTGAATTTAACATATTGGAAAAAAATCGAAAACATATTTTTTTATATTTTGCATTTTTTTTATCTTGTGTGTTAATGTCAGCAAATAAATAAAAAATGTGCACTAGAATTAGCAGAAAATTGACAAATTTAAATGTATCTACTGTAGACTGTTTTACTTAGGAAATCAACCAGACATGCAGTCTGATCCAAGGTTGTTCAAACATTTGCATTGTATGTCTTCAGAATAAGGGGAGTTTTTCTGTTGAAAGGTGAGTTACACAGCTATTTGCCTTTGTTAAGGCATGCTGCTGAATGGTTGCTGCCTATTGCATCCCCTGTGATTGGCTGTAGCAGTCAGTGTAGGCTGAGTGCTCCCTGTGCTCTAAATGCCAGAGGGCTGTTCCTGACCATCGGAATCCAGTGTCTGTTCAGGGGCAGATCGTGTCCTGAATCCTGAATGATTGTGTTCCCAAATGTGTGTGTGTATGTATGTGTATGGTAAAACAGGGTCATGCAGAGTGAGTAATCTCTCCTTTTTCTCATCATTAGTGGAGAGAGAGAGAAAGACTTTTTATGGTCATGATATGAATCAGTGTGTTCCTGTTTCTACACGATAGTCCACTCAGTTTTGCTCTGACCTCAGATGGTTTGCTGACTCAGAATATTGACTGTTTGCATGGTTTAGGCTGCTGTCAATTGAACCTGGCTTGGATTCATGATAGCTGCAATGCACAAGTGATCAAAAGGTTCCAAAACTGAAGGGTTAAAGGTCAAATATTTGATGCTTGCGCTATATTTAAGTATAATCATTGTGCTGAGATACCTAGCCATAATCAGTGGTTATAGCCCTGCTTATCTCACAAATAAACATTATAGGACAGTCTGTGTAATATGCTCTTTGTGACCATACTAAGTGTATTTTGGGGATGCACAGGTTCATTGTGTTCCCTCTGTGTTCTTCTGCAGGTTCAGAGCCCTGTGAGCAGTGAAGGGGTGAGTCTTAATACTGATTACATCCATGTCTTGCATGGTGCATGCCTACTGTGCAAGGGGGAATGAGCTCATTTGGCTGACTGGGTCCAGTGTATCACATTCATGCTCTGGGGCTGGGATTCAGTTGAAATGAAGTGTCATTGCTAAGAGGTCAGTGGTTTTTGCACGGATACTGGTGGAGACAGATAATGTAAACTTGTCTCCTGCTGTAATCGTAAATCTGTGTCTAAGTGGTTCTAAGAACAAGATGTACCAGACAGACAGACACAGAGAGAGAGAAAGAAAGGAAGAGGAGAGCATTATGTGAATGTAATGGATATTTAACAGGTGGGAAGAAACAGCTTATGTGAAGTACACCCTAGTTGAGCATTTAAAGGGGAATTCTGCTAAATTTTGAAAGTTTCTAATTCGGTCACCGAGATGTAAAAAGTCATTCAGAGTGGTTTGATGTGAAATTTTAAATTTGTTGAGAGACTCGGATTTCTTGACAGTGGTGGTGATAGGAACCAGGGGTCCCAGTGTCTACAACACAAATATATACATTTTATTCCCTATCCAGAATAACCAGTGAACCTTCATGGGTTTTCTAAGTTTTAATATGTATAGTAAAATAGTGTTAAATTTGGAAAGGTATGTTTTCTTTGGGGACTATTGCATCTCACAACACCCTGCATGTACCTTTCCGCCAAGAGCAGATTTAGGCCAAAACCTTACCTCAAGTCAAAGTCTCAGGCATCAGGCAGAATGTTTATAACATTTTGTGTGATAACTTTTTTTGAGGGAGCTTTTAGAGATTTGAAGCTCTTCAGACATGTGGAATTATCTTTACAGTGGAATTATGCATTCCATTGTAAAGATGAAATTTTTTGTAAATTGTGGAATTTTGGAAAATTAGTGGAATTTAAGGAGGTTAGAAGTGCATGAGTGTAGAGAGAATAAGCTGATTATTGTCATAAACTACATGTATTGTAAGGAGCCATCACCGATTTTATATGGTCAAAAGAGTAGGAGATGCTATAAAATGCAGGTTTGTAAATGAATTGGGCTGATATGGTGTTTGCATGTACACGTCATGTATGTGTGGCAGAATGCGCCACCATAGGGCTTGGCTGATATATCAACCAGCTGTTATTAAGGTTCCACTTACTTAGCGTTATTGCCAGAATTCCATCTATAAAGCACTGATTTGAATTGAATTGATTTGGGTTTTTTTGAAGTTGCTTGTAATGAACTGAATTCTAAAATGGGGATAATTGCTCATGTCTCAGGATTGTAATTGTCTCATGGTCTTTTATCACTTTTTATTTACTCTTTTGAGTTGAATTTTTCGAATATATAAAATTGTGTTGGCTGACATTACCTGAATTTTTAGCTCCTATAAAAGAAATTGACATTGATGTAGGGGACAAAATGTAGAAAGCGGTCAGGCCCTAGTTGTGAATGTGGTGTGATGAAGTGGTTGTGATGTTGGTCAATGGTAGAGCTGGACTAGGGCCAGTACGAACAGATGGGCACACAGGGGAGGTGGGTGCTGCTTTTGTGGTTGTACTGATCTGAGATCTGTAGGGAAGCTTTTGCCTTTTCTTTATCACTCTGGCAAGGTTCTCACTCAGTTAGACATAGACATGGCTCTTTAAATCAGATCAGCCTGGCCTTGAATGTTAATGTGAATGGGGTTTACAGACTTTTTCCTGCTGAATTGTCTCTAGCCCATATTTTGTAGGTTCTGAAAGATCAAAGTGCCAAATGCATTTCAAAGAGATAACTGATGGTATTGTGAAGAGGCACAGCATGCTGAAGAAGCATAGTTATGATTTAATTTATTGTTGAGGAGCATTAGAACTACATCCCCCAGAATGCATCATTCTCAGTAATGAGGATGCTGAGACATCAGAAGGCTTTAGCTAGGACACAGAGAGGAGGGAGCTCAGAAATGCATATACCACACACACAGTTCAGACACTGTTTGTGCCAGATTCTCACACACACAGACAGAGCTCGCATCATGGTGTGTGCTCACAGAGCACATGAGCTTAGACAGCAGTCCACGCAGTCAGTGATGTCGACGCTCTAATCTCTCCTCCGATTGGCGGACGGAGGAGTGTCAAAAACACACAGGCTTCGTGGCTGGGTCTCACAGTCGGACTGGCTTGCCGTACGGAAAGCTTTGCCGTGGTTTAAAGCTCAGGTCCGCTGAGGAGTGCAGAAGACCCCCAGCCGAGCCCCAGCTCTGCCTGGAGCTCAGAAGCCCCCTCCTTCACCTCTTCTCCCCGGAAACAGCATGCAGCGCCGTGTGTCTGAACACAGCAGCTTTAACTGCCAGGTAGGACCCAGACCTTTGGAGCTCCACTGAACTTTTTACAGCCACCGAGACTCCCTGACCATTAGATCTAGCTGCTGTGTCTTTCAACCAGAGGGGTGTTTTTTGTTTTTTTATTGAGTGTAAGGTTGTACACTAAGCTGATGGAAGTGCATTGAAGACATTAGACTGCACTGTTAGTCTGGCATTGTGTTGTAATTATGTAATGGAACACTTGCTAATGTATCAGCTAGCAGTTCAGGCATCAGCACAGGTCATACAAATAATGTAGCTGAGCAAAAGGAACAAAGAGCTTTACTCCATCTCCTCTTCCTTCCCTCCCTCTCCTACTGTTTTCCTACTGCCTCTCGCTCTTTCACCTTCTCTCCTCCCTCCCACATCACTCTCTGTTTTCTCCTGTGCCTCTCTTCTCTTCCTCCCTTCCAACCCCTCTTTCTTCCTTGTCTTTCTGTCTCCCTCGCACTGTGTTGGGGTGAGAGAAGGCGGAGAGATGACTGACAGATGGGGTGCTCAGTTCGAGCTCTCAGAGGCTGAGGAGGATGGAACACTTCCTGCTGATTCCACCTTATTGATCTTCAGAGAGAATGAAAGAGAGCAAATCACAGCCGGGAGGTTGTGTGTGGGGGAGGCTGGGAGTGAGTGAGTGTTGAGAGAATAGGCTGGATATTGTAATGAGCTACATGTATTGTAAGGAGACATTACTGATCTTACAAGGTCAAAGGAGTAGGAGGTGTTTTTATTGTTATTTCAATTTGAACATTTTTGTAACAAGATCCTATAAATGCAGGCTTGTAAATGACTTGTACTGATATAGCACTGGCATGTACGCTGGCGAAGGCGCCGCGTCATATTTGAGTGGCGGAACGCTCTGCCGTCGGCTCTCTGGAAGGATACTGATGCTGATCCTGCCATCGCCATGGTAACCATGGCCATCTGTAGGGATCAGACCCACAGCTCTCCACCAATCACGTGGCTTTGATCCCACCCCCCTCCATTCCTGATAATCCACCCCTTGCTTCTCTTGGTTAAGGCTACTGCACGCTCACGCGGTCCAGGCGCACAAAACACTCACACTTTCACACAAACACACACACACACTCTCACTGGCACATATGGGAAGCTCCTGGACAGATGTATGTTGGTGGAAAAGAACGTGACATTATGCACTTTGACCTGAGCTGTGTTTTGTCACGTGCTGTGTAAATGTGGTCTCCCTGATGGGTTCCTGTGTTCTAGTATTGTAATTTGGTCCTACATTAAAGCTATCGTTCATGTATGGAAATTAGCTCCATGTACATGTTACTGTTCCACATGAGATAAATCTACAGAGCCGTGTAAAAATTAGGTCACAAGGCATGTGTGTCCTGGAAAGCTGTGGAACAATCTATGTTGCCTCCTAGAGAAGATTTGTAGGAACTGTTGGTGTTGTTGTGAGACAGATAGATGTAGGTATTGTTACAGAAATTATGGCTTGTTCAGAGTGACACCATATAAAAATGTACTTGCATCATGCAGGCATCAATAAAAGATATTCACACCCTTAGTATATCGTCACTGTCATGACAAAACCTTCTACCAAAATGGTAGCATTATAGGAGAACAAAAAAATGTCATTTTAATGCATGTTCATGTAATGAGATTTTATTCTGGAGAACTGTACCATTTTTATTGCCCTAGTCATTATGAAGTGTTTACACAGCATAAAGGACAGTGTTTCGATCTAAAAAATTAACAATGAAAAATAAAGTTAGGAGGTTTTGATATGATTCATGATCATATTTATTACCACACAGACCTCTATGCGCTCTTGTTTTTCAGAATTATTTGTTTGTTCTCCACTACTGTCCCAGATCTTGGTTGAGGTTTGTTGTGATGATATCATAGTGTTGTGTAAATCTCTGTGCAGACGTTGGCTGGCTGACTGTATTTTGCCGATTACTGTTTGCACTAAGCCTCTGTAATCAGTGCTGACTTAGCTCTGAATGTGGGCTCATTCAGCAGCTATCTCTGCAAGTGGTCAACATCAAACTGTATGCCAAATAAAAATAACATGGCTGACAGTGGCAGGGTTAGTATACACGCACAGTCTGGTAATGTTGTAATGAGAATGAATGTAAGGCAAAGCAAATTACATTTAAGCCATTTAACTGCTGTAATTTAAGACTGGATCTCATTAAAGGTCTTGCATGGTGATGACATGAATTTTCAACCATGTAAAGACAATATCAAACTCACAGTATTACAGCAAATGCTTGTGCTTGTCTTATTATAATATTAACAGTTCATAAGTACTTCCATCACTTTGCTCTCTTCTTCTTTTCTAAGGGCGATGAATTGACTGAGGTCTCCTTAGATACACACAGAAATGTGTAAGAATTTGTGGTTCACTGGAAACTTTCTCAGAGACACCTACACTACAATGAATGCAAGGCTGTAAGTCTTACTGTGGAATGTGGAACAGCTCTGAGATGCCTCATTCTTCAGGCTAATGTCTAGTGAGATCCATTCACATTCAGGGGGAGGTGTATATACCCACATTTAGACACACTGAAAGCTACATGTATTTAAATATGCACTTGGGTTTTGTTTTGGTGTATCACTTAGATTTAATAAAAACATATTTGCCAATATTCTCAGAAAATCTGCATTTTAGTCAGTGGATACACAAAATAAAGAGTTT